CGGCCTTGGATCCAAAAGAAAAAAGTCTGTAGCGAAAAAAAATCATCGCAAGTGGCTGCATACCACGGCCGCGGACGCGAATCGAACGCGCAGCTCCTGAAAAAAGGGAAGGGATCTGTGAATTATGGCAGGGGCGGACCACCCGCCACCGGGACAATCTTCGAAGGAGAATCAGTGAGCTAGAGTTGGCATGGTAGTAACGGGGATAACGAAGAGGAAAATGGGCAGGTAAATGGAAGGCGTAGAACGCGGATACGGAAGAGAGTGCGGATGGCAATTTGCGGCGGGCCAAGGTGACCTGTTGCGTGAATAGGGGAAGAACACTTCATTGACGACTCGGCGTTTCTGCAGCTAGATCGCATCCTTTTCACATCATCTCAGCCAAAGTAAGGAGGACCAACAGGTTCAAGTGCGCCTTGGGCGGCGCCGTGCGGCACCTCGGCATTGTGACAGCTGCCTCGTGGATAGACATGATGATGCCACTCCGAGTCCTTGACCACCATGGACACCATTCCTCAAGAACTCATCGATACCATCGTCCACCAGGTCTCCGACCCCGAGACTTTGAAGGCATGCTCGTTGGTTGCGTCCGCTTTTCGTGAGCCAAGCCAACGCATCCTTCTCCGCATAATGATGCTCGGAGCTCACAATTGCGAGACGATTTTGGCCGTTGTCCGCGAATCCCCTCGCGTTGCATCGTACATCCGCACCCTCAAGTTTATCCTTCCTGAGGAAGATGTGTCTTCCAAAGTTGATTGCCTAACGGAACTCCTGGCAAAATTCACCCGTGTCTCCCAATTGACTGTGTCGGGTCATGACGGCCCTTGGGAGGGTGTTGCACCTGGCATAACAGACGCTGTCAGCAAGCTCATTCGGGAACAGCGTCTGGAAGGGTTGTATATCATGTACATTCGAGATCTGCCCGTCGATCTTCTAGCCCTCATCTTCTCCACGGTGTCGACATTCTGCCTCGATTTTGGATCAATAAGCAGTGGGCAGACATCCACCCCACCCACCGCCGTCCCGATCATTCCCACTTTGGAGAATCTACTCCTCTTTCCAGATTACGACTCCAACAACACCGTGCTTCTCACCCCGACCTTCGCACCATGCTTAGTGAACCTGCAGAAGTTGTGGGTGCCGCCCAACTTGGAATATGGTATCCCTCTCATCGCTGCAGCGGCACCCAAACTGGAAGAAGTCTGTTTCGACTGTCATGGTACGTATCCTTTGCTCCGTTGGTTCACTTATTCCTTCTGATTGAATTCAGATCTGGACATCACGAACATGAACGCTCCTCCCCTCCCAAATTTTCCCCGCCTTCGCTTTGTTTCCTTTTTTATGAACTCTCTGCATTGCGATACGCCATGGTTCGTTGAAACCGTGTGCTCGCTACTCACCTCACCTGCTGAGGAGATGATCATAACCATCACATATTCCCCTACGGCCATAGTCACCGCGCTCTCGGCATCGACTATGAACTCTCTGAACAGCATGTTTCACCCCAAACGTCCCACTGTCCCCAGGATCCGCTGGTGTATTGATTCCTCTCATAATGGGCACTTGGAAGATTTCACAGCGGTCGTCAAGCAGGGAATTCCGTTGGCTAACGAGAGAGGAAAACAAAGTGTTGAAGAACAAAATGAAGCATGGATTTGGCCAAGTGGAACTGTTATATTACCTGAGTAATTTGTCCCATTGATGTCAGTGATTGTGGCGAGCAATAGAGCGAATATTTCAGAGTCCAGATTCCGTGCTGCACCCATTGACGGCTCTATCACAATGTCGAAACATAAACCCTGTCCTGCTTGTGCAAATTCTTTTCAACCTATATGTGGAGAGGTAACGACAATAATTAGATGTGATCTTGATGCAGAGTGTTAACTGATATACTGACACATTCGGTTTCCGAGTACTCACGGCAAGCTCGAAGTTCTGGGGCCATCAGCGTAAAATGCATGGTATAAAGATAACTCAGGCAAAAAGAAGAGATCATGGCGTCGAGCGAGGGTCTCTGTCCGTGTAGCATTTACATGCAACCCCACCTATCTTTATGTAAATCCCAGGGGGGTGCTAAACGCTAGCAGTTCTCGCTGTCTGGATATATCCGTGAGGCCTGAGGAGATCTGTTTAGACTCTACGGAATGGAAGTAGTGAACGGGTTGGGTCTGTGAATGATGTGATATTATTACTAGCGATCCTGGTTGGGTTGATGAGTGGGAATCCACGGGGGTGATGTGTGGGATAATTGGCATGTGGAGGACAAGCTAACTTCATGATTTCAGAATCCTGCCACATTTTCTACAGACTTCCGAGCAGCGAAATACGCCGCCGAAATTCTAGATGGCAAGTTCGTATTCCCAAGAATGTGCCGAGATGGCATGTCCACACACATTGTCGGCTTCCGCCGTCAAAGTGATAAAACACGCTCCGGAGTATACCAAAACTGGTGCCGAAAGTCATCCGCATCCTTCGGCATTATGCGGCAGGCTCGGCCTCTGCGGATACGCGGTGATCCAAATAAATGATGATCCCGATGTAGCGCATTATCCCCTATATATATTTTTGCATGATTCAAACGGACAGAGTCATTAGATCATCCTAGACTATGATCTGACTGATTTAAATATTCCTACAAAAAATTGCTGATTGAGGTGAAAAATGCCGGATTTCTTGTTTGGGCCGGTCTGATGGCGCATCAATTTATTTGATCTCATCAATATGCTTGTAACGTCGACATATATCTAATCTACCTGGTATCTTAGTTTGGGTCAAAATCTTCACTGTTCGTCGAAAAAGGTCCGAAAACCCGTCGGACATTTATTTTATTCACTTAGTGTGAGTATATTAAATTCCGGCCCGTGCTCAGATGGCGCACTGACGGAGCCTGCAGCCATAGTCAAGGCCACAAATTCCAGATCGTACAGCGCTCCTCTGACTTCAGCTCCAACGACCCATCTGTCGTCAGCAACGCGAACCTGAAGAACCCCTTGACTCGTGACACGATCCTCATCGATGCCGGTGGTTCTGCTACGCTCCGGTACGCACCAAAAGAAATGTCTATCAATCCTCCAATTCTAACGCAGTCCCCCAAGATTCGTCGCAGACAACCCGGGAACGTGGTTCTTCCACTGCCACATCGAGTGGCACCTGGAAGCCGGCTTCGCTGTTCAGCTCATCGAGACGCCGCTGATCGCGCAACGATTCGTGAAGAATATCCCGGTCAGATCGACGCCAATTGCAAGGCACTCAACGAGCCCACCAGTGGGAATGCCGCGGGACACGCCAGCGCAACGGACCTCAGCGGTCTCCCACTTGGCCCGTTCCCCGTATAATGATTTTTCAATTTGGTGCATGCAGGTTTTACAACGTAGATCCCTGCCTTGGTGTATTAAATTATTTGGCACAATTGATATTCCGACCTAATTCGCACCGTTTTAGCACAATTTTCCCCGACTCGGACGATCAGGCGCAGTGCACCCAATCTTGAGCTGAGTAGAAAAGCCGAACCCTGTGATCGAGGGAATCTTATCTTAGTTTAAAGCGGTCGCGCGCCGCGCGCCCGCCGCCAACGAGCCCTTGTCTTCTGATTTGTGTCCTGGATATGACCTGAGAGACTGGATACCCTGAGCTCACCGACTGAAACTTGACATACCACGTATATTGGAGTCAGAAACGATTACATAAAATGAAGGGGAATTTCATACGCCTGGAAACAATGTTATTCAGATGTGTTTGAATAGTGGATGCGAGGACAAAAGTCGCTGAATCCAACACAAAGAACATTATTTCCAATGTACGGCTCGGCCCCGGTTCGAACGGCATTCCCTGGAGCCCAGCTCAGATTAAAGCAAGACGCGCACCGCCGACCGATTCCCTCATTTTGTGGATGAGAAAGGACTTAATTGTCGAAGGGAATGAACGCACCGGACTGAGAACTTTATACGCGATCCCAAGGAAAAGGAGTAAGAGGTGTGGGAAGAAATACCCACACCAACCAAAAGAGTCAAAGCGACAACACATGGCTCGGTCCCGAGTCGAACGGGAGTCAATGCGTAAATCATGCCGATCCCGTCAGCGAAAGCAGGAGCGCGCCGCGCGCCACTGAGCCCTGTCGCATTGCGTTGAGGCTGGTATATGACGTGACGTTCGAGGTGGCAAGGGGACTAGATGAGATTAAGCAGTTGAGAGCCCGAATCGCGCGACACCTGTTTGACTCTGATGGCGAGTGAATGTTATCGAGTGTGTCGCAATTTAGAGACTTCCCTAAGGATTCGAGGAGTTCAAGATAAAGAGTGCACCATTCGCCGTGCCCCAATCCCATAGTTCATCATCGAGTCGAATATTGAGCGTGGAGCGCGCCACGCAACCCCGTGCGGGAGGTAGGTATAGCGATACTTGGGATGTGGATGCGGATTTTACGGGCCCTGGCACGGGAGATGATGTCGCAAACAGTATTAAGCAGATAATGGGAGGAAGGGAGCGAGGAGTTTACTGTTTGCGCAGACTACGTCGCCATTGGGTGATTGAGAGTACTGTTCACAGATATACGGGCCCGACTGACGGTTTACAGTGAAGGAGAAGCGAGGCATGCGTGTATGCGCAGAGGCGGCGCATCTGGGAGAAAGGGGAAAATGCCGGGAGCCCCGCTGATAATGCCTCCAGTGGGAGGGGTATCTCTCTGGAAATCCAGTCAACTGACGGTCCCTCACATCCGGAGTATCGTCGTTGGTATGATGCGCCTTTGGAGCAGCCTAGGTCGGACTGGGTTCCTGGGAGAACCGGCGGTAAGTAAGTAGTACCGAGAGCATCTTGGAAACAGGTAGTGGTTGCGATCCAGGACCGAGCGGTGAGACGAAGCAGGAACGAAGAGTACTCAATTGAAAGCAGAGATACAAGCGGCTCACTGACGTTGACAAACGCCGGATCAACAACGTGTGATCCGTCCAACGACCTTCTCGATTTCGTGCCATATGCAACGAAAGGGCAACTGCTTGTACGGCGTCATAGCTCAGTTGGGAGAGCAGCAGACTGAAGTTTCATCCTCCCGGTTCTTTATCTGAAGGTCCCGTGTTCAAGCCACGGTGATGCCACTTTTTCCACTGGATTTGTCCGGTCCATCACGCGCTAATTCGGTGCCTCAGCTAGATTACTCCGTACGCCGCCATCTGAAAATGCATACAACTCCAGATCTCTCTTTATGGCCACTGGTTACTTTTCCCGTTTCCCGTAGGTCGATTTGTATCTGCACAATTGGATTCTGGCATATATATTACTCCTGGGTCATCACCTCGTTTGTATTATGCTCTTCCGCTCTGTTGGGTGACTATGTTTTCGATTCCAATTCGTTGGCAAGTGGAACGAAATTTAAATACAAAATTAAACGGACTGGACACAAGATCTGAGTCATTTCTTGACCACCATTCAAAAATGCTCTCTGAAGCATCCAAAAATACTCCAGAGAGAGGCATCAAATTGGTTCATGCCATTTCACATTAATTCGATTCCAGCTACTGCTTTTTGGACACACTTGCATCATCATCCGCGCTGCCCGACCGGCACATTCACCCTCTCGTGGTCCCCGTTATTTCACACCTTCGACTGTGAATCACCGACAATTGACCCAACGCTCGACCAGCGCTGCCTTAAGTAATACAACGCAGAACCGGAAGTATCTTGTTCGCACCCAAAGCTCATCTTGGGTCATCGCATCCACAGGATACTACGTTCGTTCCGGGGGTGGTTCATAGTTCCTGTCAAGTTCTTGTGGCGTCTTTTTCGGCAAGCATTCAGAATCCAGTTTATTCTCTAATGATTACATAGATAGCTTGTGCACAAGCCATACACATTTTATGAGGCTCGTTCCTGCCCTAAATATTAGCTCTCGCCCGCACATGACGTGGTTGCGGCCACTTAGAAAACCCTCCTTTAATTTCCAATCCAAAACTTACACTGACGAGGAAGGCTCGATCGCGCCGCTCGAAACAATTGGACCGTGGACGGAGACAGAGTGGCCTGCGAAAAAAAATGAAGGCGTGCGCTGTTTAATAAGATGGTAGAGAGATCTGGAGCACGTACCTTGAAAAGCGAAGGACATGGAACCCCCGGGTGATGAGCTAAGCAGCACCGTGTCGTCGAAGGTACTTTGGGCGAGTCCCTCCGATCCCCCATTATCCCCCAATCCCAGCGGATATTGTATTCGCGTATCGTTGTCATCGGTGAAGAGTGTCTTTAAATACAGTGGTCGATGCAGTCTCGTACATGAGAAAGATAATATGCGGTTCGGTTGTTGTTTCCTGGGTTATTATCAGCTGTGACCGGGTCACCTTGGGATTTATCGCTAGTTCCGGAAGGCTATACTGTCCCTGTACAATTGGCTGTGTAGAAGAATGAAGGCAGGTATTCTGCGAATGGTTGAAGACCATTCCACGAATTTACATAGCGCGTTGATCGACTGGTGAATTTCCTTCCACCGGTACCCCCAACAGATGTAAATACTAGCTAGCGGGCCACCCCGTCAAATTGAGTTTCGCAGGCCCAAACTGGTGGCCTATGTATCCGGGGATAATACAGGGATATGCTTGGGAGGCTAGCAGAGCGTGAGAAGGGCAGATGAGATGCGGTACGAGGAAGGGACGATTGGAGAGATGGGCGAGTGCGTGGGTAAGACACAAGTGGAATAATATGAATCATGGCCACAGAGTTGCTGAAAACGAACAGAGGAATCGCCGCAGAGTCCAAAGAGAGATCTACTTTCATCATGATAGTTTCGTAAAAAAAATCGTTTTGGTGCTTTGCGGCGTGCGCACCTGCTGTAAAGCTCGCTTGGCCTTCATTCGGCAGCCTGATGAAGTTGGGAGACTGCATACAATATCAGACTAATTGGTCAAAAAATCATATCGCTGCCTAGATAATCAGATTCGAGACAAATTCGAGAACAGGCAAATCCAAACATGCCGCTACCGAGCTGAGTCATCATCCCACGTTGGCTCTTGACTGCTTCTTTACTTCTTACGATCTCGCCCCATTTTTGTGCTCTGTCGGCGTACCGCCTACTCGTTATAACAAGGATTCTCGACTACTGGCAGTGTAGTAGGTTCAAGTTCCAAGGATCCAAGTGGTCCCAATCCACGATTCAGTGTTCACCCTTTTTCAGAACGAGGTTACGGTGGGAAGTACGTCAGGAGAAACTACATTGTGCCAGGAACTGGATTACCCCATGCCCCTCCCGCCGGCCGCACACCATGTTTCTGTTGGGTGTACAAACTGCCTCCGTACTACGAGCGGCGATCCGACGTTGAAATTGCTTCGATGTGCGAAGGTATGTCGCTACCGTAGCTCATGCGCCGTTGTCACTCATGGCTCAATGCGCAGTGCAAGGACGTCACCTATTGCTCCAAAGAGGTATGTTTTTTTGAAGGTCAGGTTTGGGCCGATCGCAAACGCTCATGGAATGAATATTCCAGTGCCAGAGCGAACATTGGTACGTAGGACTCGAAGCCCTCATCGTGTGGATCTTGATTTCCGTCCCTTGGAGGCCAACACACAGGGCATGCTGCAACACAGCCGACGGTTCCGGCATCCGTTCCATCTCCCTAAAGTTCGTCAGCAGCGATATAGGACACGTTTGTCTTCAAGCGTGCTTTATCTTGCACTTTGATCTCCTCCACAATCCCCAACTCGGCATCGACAAACCCTTTGTTGCCCTTTTGGATTTCGGGATAGAACCTGTTGAAATGAAAGATTTCATTGGCATCCTTCTTGATCAGCCGATCGCCGATAGGATTAAGGGCGTGCTACAGGTGAACTCATTTCAGGCGCTCACACCCGCCGAGGCGGAAGAGACTCTCACGCCCGCCAAGTTGGGGTCGTGGCGTAACGCTAGAGAGGAGCTCAACCGTCAGGGCCTTGTTGATCATCAAGTGGGACTTGTACAAATCGGCAACAGTGCAGGTGGCCCGAGAGGGGCGCTGCCGGTCGTGATTGATAGAGAGGTGATAGAGACACTTGCGAAGCCGCATTTCACTATTCATGGCTGGATGGAGTGCGTTGGAATCCGTTCAATTTATCTTCACGTATAACTCAGCTCTTTGTTCCCAGGCACACGAACACTATGATTAGAGAAGACACTAGCAACGCGCTCCGTCTTCGCAAAGATATGGAACTCTCAGACATCAAGGTCATCATGGACCTTGTTCGCGATATGGGGGACCCGTACGCACAAATTTTGTGGGCCAAGATGGAAAGAGAAGCTATATTCAAACCGATCATGGCTATTCTCCGCGGATAGAATACAATGGCCGCACATAACCCGGAAAATGCGGGCGCATCTGTCCGGACTCATCTTGTAATCTTGAATGCCTAGCCTTTCCATTCCCATGATGAGATTACTCTCAGTCCTGGACCGCAACATGCGGCACACTCCAAATTGGACGAATATTTGAACCACTGGTCATAAGATAATATTGACTGCGACTCGGCGAGACCAGTTATTCCATTAACTGGAAATTCCACTCTGGCGGCTGGTCCCGAAGCTGGTTCAATGAAGGATTTTTTTGAAATTCACCTCACGGCGTTGGATCGCCCACAGCGAACGAGGTGCGGCAACTGGCGCGATATCTAAATGCTCCCTCCTCACCCACCATATCCATTGCGCGGAAATTCACCGAGAAACATCTGCTCGAGTCGCCCATCGTCAGCCCCGAGGCGCGGTGCACTACACGATCACGACGTCTCGCGGGCTTATGGGCCACAAAACCACCACAATCGGGGCGACAAGCGGGCTCGTCGGCGTCATCGACTGGCGCGAGGAGACCTTCAATATAAATGGGTTCCAACGAAAAATCGAAACCCTGAAGGCCCATGCGTGCGGAATATTAAATGCGTGCATCCCGCGCCGTCCTCTTTTGCGTTAGGTGCAGAGCTCACGATCGGGTGCGACAGCGAGCGCGAGTGGAACTGGGGGTACCGGCCGTTTCATCTGAAGTATCATGATTGGCATACGGAGCTGCTGGTACGTCCTCTCCGGCTGGGGTAATAATCCTCGGCCGCGTGCCGTGCTTTCAGCTCCGTCCGACTCACTTCAGGCAACGCCCAAATTTGAGCCCAACCCCGGCACGGTGCGCTTCACGCCGTTCCAGTCGCACCTCCTGCTTCATAATGAGCGCGCCGGAGTCATCTATTTTCCGTATCAGATGCAGGATGAGTTGGAGAATATGTTCTCGCTCATGGCGATCCTGCAGACTGAAATACATCGGCAAGACGTGCGTCCGTTTCAGGCCTTACTCTTACACCTACTGATTAATACTCAGAGTGATGAGGGTAACGAAGACGGGGCGTTTGATGCGGTGGGGGATAATATTTTGAAACATTGGGACTAGCTTCATTGACCTGTGGATGTGCTCCCCTCTGTCAATGGGAATGTGTTTCACTCAACTCAATGCCGGCGTTCCCCAAATCTAAATCTAAATATCCAGAACCTCTTGAATAACATAGGAGCCGTTTGTGGCTTCGTTGTTGATATGTACGTCGCAATTCGTTACCAACTGCAATATCACGGATATTACGGTACGGGCAAAATAATCTCTCCCCGAGCGAGACGCATTTCACCACTAATTTCCCCTGGTCACGAGCAATCGGAATTCCCTCCTCCACAGCCGCCTCAAAATCACGCAAGAACGTGCCATCGTCACTATTCATATCGTCGAAGTCAAGACGCCACATAAGTCGGATGAATAAAAGTTGGACGGCGCGCTTAGTGCGCGGAAACAGAGGATGTTAATTTGCTCGGTGGGAAAGACTCAGAATCTGCCCATCTCCCCGAACGAATGGGTTTATTACCTAGACATTGACATTAAACACAAATTTTGAACCAAGGCCAACAATATCACGAATTTCCCGAGGTTCCGGGATGAAAGCGAAAGAAAACGACAAATCTCGGTTAGCCTACGTATAAGGCGCGCGCGAAGCTTCTGAACTGTCGATATCCACAGAGCTGCGGCATGCCACGCTCACGTGGTTGCCGAATCCGAGTCCGAATTGGAATTGGAACGCAACTCTCCTCGCGACACTACATTCGACAGCCCATCCAGGA